AGAGAATGAGAGAGAGAACACGAGATGGGGGAGGGTCAGAGGGAGAAGCAGACTCCCTGCTGAGCAGGGAGCCCGATGCGGGGCTCGATCCAGGGACTCCAGGATCATGACCTGAGCCGAAGGCAGTTGCTTAACCAACTGAGCCACCCAGGTGCCCCCTCACTGTAGCTTTGATGTGCATTTTCCTGATGGAGTTCCCGATCCTTTGACTGTAATCCCTCACTGGTCCTCAGAGCTGGTGCTTTTGCCCCTTGCTCAGCCATATGCCCCTCACCCAAGCCCCTGCTCTCTGTCGCTTCTGACCCCTCTTTTAAACCACTTCTATGTTTTTTTCTTTGTAGAGGTCACTACAGTTATAAACTATTAAATTATTAGGTAATTTTTTTAAATGTCTGCCTTCCCCACTGGACCATGATGTGGCGGGCGGCTGATCTGCTCACCAGACTGTGGCGTGGTGTCTGCAATAGTCAGCTGCCAACCACTATTTGCTTCAGGAATGAGGGCATTTGGAGCAGCATGGTTGAACTCTACTGTTTCGACAGAGGGTAACCCCTGACTCCTGTGGGTCCGTAGAACGTCCCTGTGGCTTGAATTCAAGGAGGAAGATGAAGCATAGATGTTAAATTGTACACTCTATGCTTAGAGACTCTGCAGCCTGAGTTCTTTCTGATAGTGTTCACTGGGATCTCGTACAAGCAGTCCGGTTGCCGGCTGTCCGTGGTGCCTGGCAGCATCCCGTGTTCTGGGGCACCAGCCAGCTCCCCAGCGGAGCTCTGCTAAGGACTTCAAACCGGAGGACCCACCAAAGTAGAAAGTGGTCAGGAGTTGCACTTGGCGGTTTGAGGGAAGCCTGTTGTGTTTCTAGTTAATCATTTACCTGGAAGAGAATTAGAAGAGGGAAACTGTTCATCAGTTTTCTCCTTCCTTCCTTCCTTCCTTCCTTCCTTCCTTCCTTCCTTCCTTCCTTCCTTCCTTCCACAAAAATCAAGCAATAGAACAGCCATAGGGGAGGGACTTTGTTGTGTATCCCCAGCACTTAGAACAACGCCGGGCTCACGGTGGGTGCTGCATATGTTGGAGTGAGTGAGCGGTGAGTGAGTGAGTGAGTGAATGCCCAGAGCACTTCGGTGGGAGCTAGGGTAGCCCAGTCCTGCATCTGGGTGGGGGGGTGTATGTGTGTGCATGCGTGTGCCTACCTGCATCCCCCCTGCCTTTAGCAGTCACAGGGTAGTGCGGCAGCAGCCCCGGAACCCGCTTTCTCTCCTGGGCACCATCACCCCCACTTGGGTCACCTGCATCCCACGCTGGCCCCAGGGGACCGGGGGCTGAGGAGAGACTGGAAACCAGAGCCCATGCCTCTTACCTTCCTTGCCAGAAATTTCCTGCTGAATTAACCACTTGTTAATTCCTTTGGTGGAGGGAGGAGAAGGGTGAGGTTTCTTTATGGGGGCTCCTTGCAGGTCTTGCCCCTGCTGCGTGGAGGTCAACCAGCTCGTGCTCTCCGTCTGGGGCAGCGGGACAAGGCAGGGATGGCAGCGGCTCCTCACTTTGCTCTCTGCAGAGGCGCTGTCTGGAGGAAGACCTGGGGGCTCCATGGGAGGTGGATGAAGGTGCTCCAGGGGCAGCTTCTGAGAGCCGCGTCCAGGCTCTGGTCAGTGGATTCATCTCTGCAGCTCGACACTTTCATAATTCAACCTTGCAACAGCTCTGCGGGAGCGTGATGACCCTCCTTTTGAAGATCAGGAAAATGAAGATTCTAGCAATTAAGTTAGAAAGTGGCAGTGGGCAAATGCAAGATGAAATCTGTAGATTCTGGGCGCCTGGTTGGCTCAGTTGGTTAAGCATCTGCCTTTGGCTCAGGTCATGGTCCCAGGGTCCTGGGATCGAGCCCCGCATCGAGCTCCCTGCTCTGCAGGAAGCCTGCTTCTCCCTCTCCCACTCCCCCTGCTTGTGTTCCCTCTCGCTGTGTCACTCTCTGTCAAATAAATAAAATCTTAAAAAAAAAAAAAAGAAAAGAAATCTGTAGATTCTAAGAGAAAAGCTTTGTCCACTTTTATTTTTCTCCAGCTTTTCATGACTTTACTAACGACTTCCCTCTTGTCATTAAGTAAGTGTTCGGTTTTCTCCTGTGTCAGAAGGGGTTATGATCACAGAACACACGTGTTTGAGTCCCCAGAAACCTGTATTTAAATATCTTCTCGCCGTGCCTGTTACAGCAAAAATCCAGAGGCTAAAGGAAGTTAATCAGTGGCCATAAATAAACAATTACAATTGTTCACATTTTCTCCTCTGATTTTTAGGGGAGTTTGTGCTTGAGGCAGGATTTGAGCGTGTTTTTGCTACTGTCAGCAAATACAGCCACGTGGGAGGAATGTTAGCGAAGCATTTTGGACGTTGGGTAGAGTGTTGGAGAAGGTGAGCCTTCCGTGTCTTTCTGAACCAGTGGTTCTCAGGGGCAGCTGCCTCCCACAACCAGGGGGACATTTAGCAATGGCTGGAGACACCTGAGTTGTCACAGGTAGGGGACGGGTGGCCCTGCAGTGCATCCAGGACAGACCCCAGAGCAAAGAATTATTTGGCCCTAAGTGCTGTGGTTCACGGAACCTTTCAACCAGGTTAGGTGGGTAGAGGTAGGTTTCAAGACAGGGAGCGACTCGAAAGATGACGAATCTTCAGATTCTCTTGTGTCCTTCGATAAGACTTCAGGGTAAATCCGGAGTTCCCTTGAACCCCAGCTGCTTCCTATGACCTAAGCCAGGATTTCTCCTCCCACAGAGGCTGACACTCGTACTTTTACTGGCAACGCTGATAGCCGCATTTGGGTCATCCTTTCAGTATGGGTACAACGTGGCCGCCGTTAACTCCCCTGCCGAGGTAGGTCACTGGGGTGAGTGAGACGCAGCCCCCAACCAACGGGGAGGGGGGCTGGAGCAGCCTGTGCCCGGACATGGCCACCTGGGTGGTGATACGTGCACACTGGGGCGCACAGTGGGTCCTCAGGTCCCGGGAGAGGGAAGTATGCACGAGACACACAGCACGGGCCCAAGGGAATGACTTGGGGGCACAAGGCCATGGGGGTGAACCCGGTCCCCCGGCCTCAGCTTCTCATGGGAGGCCAAGACTGGCTGTGCACACGGGGGCTGGTGCGGGTGGGGGCTCTGGTCTTTTGCAGCCCTGCACTCTCCAGAGGAGTCTGGAGGGTCAGGGGTCATCCAAACTGGAGTTAGCAACGTCCTGGGCAGGGTGCCTATCAGAGGCCTGGCAGCTCCCCACGTGGGTGCTCCTGCTAGCTGCTAGTCATACCACTCTGTCCCTTCTCCCTTCCACTTCCTAGTGTCACTGTCTGTGTGCCCAGGTCGTCCACTGGGGGAGCCTAACAGCTCACAGTGTTCTTTCTGCAAAGCCAGATGGTTATTTTGGTGCTCTCTTCCGCTTTGTTCTCCAGCTCATGAAAGCATTTTATAATGAGACCTACTATGAACGCAACAATATCTATATAAATGAGTTTTCCTTGACATTGCTGTGGTCTGTTTCTGTGTCCATGTTCCCCTTTGGAGGCTTCATCGGCTCCCTCATGGTCGGCCCCTTGGTGAATAAACTTGGCAGGTAAGGCAAGGTAAATTTCCAGCTCCTGAAAATCCTAGCCCCGACCATTTCAAACCCAGGCCTAAAGCTGAAGTTGTTTTTGTTGTTGTTGGTGGTGGTGGTGGTAAAACTAGGTAATAACCATTGTGACGATTTCTGTCTTCTAATACGGTCTTAAAAAGACCGGCTGTTGATCAAGTGTCTGAGGATGAGGCAGGGTCTCAGAGCTAGAGGTGGGTATGGCGGGTCGCGGGCTCTGGGGGCAGGCCAGAAAGAGCAGAGCATACTTCACAAGTCAGGACTCGCTCCCTCTATGTTCTCTTGCCTTACACGTATATTCCTTACCAAACCCAAAACAAGTTCTCTCTTCTCTCTCTCTCTCTTTTTGCTTTTTAAAAGAGTCAAACACTCTTTTAAATGTGTTTTAGGGCCACAATGTCAGTCCCAACGTAGATCATAGCACAGCATTCTTGAACTCTGCCTCCCAAACAAACACAAACTCACTGCTCTGTTCTTTTACCTTAAGATCAAGTAATAGGCAGAATTTAACCCGAATTAAATTCCTATAAAACTCTGAAATGGCTGAGATTAATGCCAGGCACTCCAGTGTGAAACCGCGTGGTCCCAGGGTGACTCTCACTATGAGTGTTGTGAATGCCAAGGGCAGAGCATTATATATCTTTTTGCCCCTAATTCTAGAAACATTAGAGATTATGTATTTGATTCCAAAAAAGGTCCTTAAGACATCACACTCCCTCCTGTAAATTCCGTGGGCAGGAGAGAGCGGTCTTGTTACGAGCATATCTAAGAGCTCCTCCCCACCAGCCCCTTCCCTTGGCGAACGAGCACACGGAGGCTAGGTAAGGTCAAATCATCTTCTCGGCCACAGATGTCATTAGCTTGAGAGTCAAGGCCAGAACCCAGCGCCTTCCCCAGTATTTTTCAAAAAAGAGTCTGAGATTAGAAACATACAACCTCTGCTTTGGGATCTAAGATCCCGAGGTCTTCCTGGGAGGTTGGTGTTGAACTCAGCAGTTTTCTCTGCCGGCCAGAACATCAATCAAGTCACAGATCTGCAGGCCAGGTCTCCTTGAGTAAAGGACTTTGGTCCGTGTTCGTCCATTTGGTCCACAGATGGAGTAGACAGTTGCTTGTCCAGCTGTCTGCTTGAGAATGTGATAAAAATGCTATTCATTTGTTTGTGGTTTTCTTAAAGTTCTGTTCCTTATATAACAGTAGCAACTAACAGTTTATTGATGGGTTCCTATGTGCCAGGCTCTATCCCGAACTTGGGCTTTTAGGGTTTTTAGGGGTTTTTTTAGGGTTTTTAATTCCTCCAATCCATACAACAGCCCCATCCCTTTTCAAAATGCGAAAACAAAGCACAGAGAGATGCTGTCACTTAGCCAAGATTATACAGCTGGGAGGAAATTCCATCTCTGAGCCTGTCCAAGCAACACCGTTTTATCAGGCAAGTATCTTCTCTAACTGTTCCTTTATTGTTTAATCACACACATAGTATCTTTTTCATACAAGATATTTACATGTTCATGTGGGCAGACTTAACTCTCATTTATGGTTTTTGTTTTTTGTGTCTGAAGACAGCCTTCCCCACCTACCTGGAGTCACAAGGGTAGTCTTCTATAATTTAAAAAATAATGTTACAATTTTGTTTTTCCCAGGCAGATCTGACATTTTATTTTGTATGGCGTTTTAACATCGAAAGGTTTTTCTATATGCTGTTGAATTAAATCTGCTAATATTTCATGTACGATTTTTCCATCTATGTGATATCAGTGAGGTTGGCCCTATACATTTCTTCTAATGTCCTTACCTGATCTGGTTTCAAGATTCCACTAACATCATGCGAGTTGGTGATTTCAAAAACCCTTGAGTGTATCCTAGTATGCGGCTCTTTCCCTCTGCTCCCCACCACCGATGCACTCTGCACTGTGGTCATTTCCCACTGTGGCTCCCACCAGGCTGTGCACTTGACCCCTATCACCAGGCTGTGCACTTGACCCCTATCAGCCTACGATCGCAGAGAGTGGAAGCATCAGCTAAGCCTGTTGCTGTAACTGGCCAGAACTTGGTGCACATCTGTTAAATGAACACGTGAATCCTTCGCCCAGACTAACTGACATTTCGTCCTCTGCAGGAAAGGGACTTTGCTCTTCAACAACATCTTCTCCATTGTACCCGCGATCTTAATGGGGTGCAGCGAGGTTGCCCGGTCATTTGAGATGATCATTGTGTCCAGACTTCTGGTGGGAATATGTGCAGGTAAGTGAGGCTACGCTGTGCTACCTCTCTGTAATTTAGGATAATCGGGGAGGAGGGGCAGGCACCATGGTCTGGATCATTCTGGGGCTGCTGAAGCACGCAGACACAGCGGAGGCTGCACCTGCCTCTGCCCTGAACTAGACCCTGGAGCCCACGCTTTAGTCGCAGGTGCGTTCAGGGGCGGAGCGTCCCTGTGCCGCTTCCCACAAAAAGAGCCCTTGCATGAAAGACAGAAATACAGACTCCTGTGCAGAGGTGTGCTTCTGTCTGGTCTTTTATCTTCGTGTTTTCTCAACTGCAGGTGGGCCAGTGGGTGGGCGGAGACCCCTGATTAGTGAGCAGCATTTTCTTTTTCTGGACAGAGTAGACCGTGTTGTGTGCAATGAAGATAAGGATTGTCTTCTGGAACTTTTGCTTCGGTTATTTATACGTGTATGAAAATCAGGTTGCAATGTAAAACATGTTTCTATATTTTTTACTGTGGGTCATGATTGAAAAAGCGTGACGAACAATCTAACGGATGAATCCCTCTTAATGAGAGCAGCCTCTCAACTTGTATAGGGAATGTGAAGTTTGCAAAGGGCTCTTCGGGGGGGTCCTCTTTCACTTCCTCTTCCAGAGGCCACCTGCTGCAGAGAGTAATGACTGGCTGGGGTCTCTCACCCCATAAGCCCCGGAGCTGCTTTGCAAACCCTCCGAAGCTATCCTCGGAGGCTGCGCTTTGGTGGTCGTAGGAAGCTCCCCCACAATTGCTTCAGACTGAGGAGATGGGGTTAAAGCCATGCTTGCGATCTTCCCCCCGACCCCGCCCCTGTGACTTGGCATTCTTTTGTAGACTGTAGTTCCCAGGGCTGGTGGGGGTGAGTGGGGTGCCCACTCTTGGGGCTGTGCGCCTTCTGGGTGGGCAGCCAGGGTGAGCGCCCCCAAAATGCTGCATCCTGGGCGCCTTGCCAGCAACCCTGCACCCGGCCCTGGCGGTACCAGCAGCTCTCATTTTCTCCTTCCAATCACGGGGCTAGGGATGAATGGAAGACCTGGCTGGATGTCAGCAAGCCCCTCAGCGGGCTCTATGGACAGTGGTGGGCACGGCGAGGAGCCTGTTGTTAGGGGAAATGGCGAGGAATTGCAGGGCCAGGGAGAAGAAGAGGAAAATAAGATCCTTGAAGAGAGAAGAGGTCCTGTCAAGGAGAGAGTGATGGGCCCCATGACAAGCTTCCTTCGTACTGCTTTCCCTGAGAGCGTTGGATGGACCTCTGCCTCCTGAGCCCCAAGGGCTCCTGGCCTGTCTCCCCCTGCAACAGGGCTGGGCTAATGAAACACGGATGATTCCTGGAAGGTGCAGGCAGACACTTTTCTGTTGACCATCCAACACTTCAGGGTTGGTTCCAACAGGGAAATATTAGGCTCCAATAGATAACAAATCACAAAACCCCCAACCTTTACTCTTAAATAAACATAACTTTCAAGTCAGTGGTTCTCAAACATTTTGGCCTCACTCTTCCACTCTTAAAATTATTGAGAGCTCCAAAGAGCTTTTTGCTCATATGGGTTGTACTGATCAATATTTACCATTTAGAGATTGCAGCCAAGGGGAGCCTGGGTGGCTCAGCTGGTTAAGCATCTGCCTTCGGCTCAGGTCATGATCCCAGGGTCCTGGGATTGAGCCCTGCATTGGGGCGGGGGGGTGTCCCTGCTCAGCGGGGAGTCTGCTTCTCCCTCTCCCTCTGCTCTTCCCTGCCCTGTTCATGCTCTCTCTCTCTCTCAAATAAATAAAAAGAAAAGAAAGAAAGAAAGAAAGAAGAAATTGCAACTAAGAAATGTTCATTTAATTCATTGAAATGGTGACAGGATTACATACATGTGATTCTCTTATGAAAAGAGCTGTATATTCTAAAACAAAAAGACATAGTGAGAAGAGTGGCATTGCCTTACATTTTTGCAAATCTCTTTAATGTCTGGCTTCAGAGAAGACAGCTGGCTTCTCCAACCTGCTTCTGTGTTCCACTGGCTGGGGTACCACGTGGCATGTCGCCTCTGGAATGCTCCACTGTGGGCTCAGGAGAGAAGGAGAATGAACAGGGTGCTATCTCAGGATTCCTGGAAAATGCTTTTGATCTCGCAGGCTCCCTGAGAAGATGTCAGGAGCTCCCTAGGTCCTCAGATCCCATTTGGATCTCAGGTCATAATCCATTTGCAGTTAATTCTTTCACACGGCTCCCAAAAAAGTCAGGAAGGTGAGCGAGCCAGCAGCATGCTGCTCAGACATCCTAAAAAGGAAGGGAGCAGCTGCTCTGCCCAAAAGGGGTACAGGGACCAAGGGGGTGCAGGGGCAGACAGTGGGACTTGAGATGCTCAGTTCACTGGCTCACTGCTAGTCAACTCGAGTGGCAGAACACCAAGCGCTTTCCCCGAAGGGATTTCAAAGGTAAAAGCCACTTTCTCCGACTCTGTCCGACCAGGCCAGCTGGGATTGCCTAGTGGAGTCGCTTTTAAGTCAGAATAGAGATTGCTTCCCACCAGCAAGAAGGCGACCCTGTCTCTTCCCAAACCTCCGATGTTTGCCTCTTCAATTTTTGTCCCTCATCAAGTGAAGAGCTTGCTGCTGAGATGTGAGGTCCCTCCCACCCCCCCCACCCCCGAGCCCTAAGTGGTGACCGCCGACCCCGCCCCTCAAGGGCCCCTGCTTCCTCCCAGCCCTTTAGGCACTAGGCCTGCGGGGTCCCCACACATACCCCACCAGACTTCCCAGGGCTTCTGCAAAGACTGCCCCTCTTTGCTCTGACAACCGGGAAGAACCGGCGTGAATGAGCAGCAAGCCTCTTTTAAAACACTATGCAGATATCCTAGGGCAGAATCCCCAGGCTTGAACCCTTGGTTCTCAAAAGGTTCCCTCCTATCTGGATGTCATCCAGTACCCACCCGCTGCCACACTGTTCGCCTCGGCCTCCCTGCGGCCGGACCCCCCTCTCAGACCCGCCTCCCTCCGAGCCCGAGCCCGAGCCTGAGTCCTGAGTCCTGACTGCGTGCTCGATACTTGGACTAGTGACGACCCCCTGACCTCCGTCCAACATTCTCAGCCTCTTGTTGGGCTTTTGGGGGAATTAAATGGGATGATCTATGAGGAAAATACTTCCGAGCCTATAAAATTTAGTTCCAGCTAATCTTCCTTGTTCCAGTAAGACGAGAAAACTTAAAAGTTTAAATAGTGGGCATTCGGAAGTGGCCATTATTCCATAGTATATGTTTACATTTGTAATGCTGACTGATTAACGGAGCTTCTGCTTCAGTGTGTGGTCAGCTGTGCATCAGTTGGTTACATAATATGCTTTCTCAGAAGGCGAAGCTGGTGGGCAGGGGTCCTTGGCCCCGTACGAACAGCTTCCCCCAAGGAGCCAGAGAGGAGAAGGTGCCAGACCACACCTGGGCTTTTGTTCCCTGGCACCAAGCCAGTTAGGAGGGCAGCCCAGAGGTCAGGCCGCCCCTGTCCCCCGCCCCCCGTGACACGAGTTGAAAAGCCAGGCTGCTTGTCGATGAACTTCCTTGGCTCAGACTATTATTTCTTTCCTTACAGTTTAAAAGATGAAGAATTAAAAGAGGGGTTTGCTTACTCTCGCCATCTTGAGACAAAAGTTCCAGCCCACTTGATGTGATTGCTGGATAAGAATGAGTGTGTTTGAAGACACAGCTTGTGCCTGTCAGACTTAAAGTTTCCTGATGGTGTTTTTACTTCAATCCCCTGCCAGGTCTGTCTTCCAATGTTGTCCCCATGTACCTGGGGGAGCTGGCCCCCAAAAACCTGAGGGGGGCCCTGGGGGTGGTACCTCAGGTCTTCATCACTGTCGGCATCCTCGTGGCTCAAATCTTTGGTCTTCGGAGCCTCCTCGCAAACAAAGAGGGTAAGCCCCGGCTGCCTCCAGACCCCAGGCCTCCCTCCGCTCCGACTGGACGTTTCTGTGAGCTGGTCTTTCTTCTCTGGTCGGCTGGCTGGCCTCGCCACACTGCCCTGGCCCCACGGTGCTGGCGTGGTGTTTGCACAGAACGGGCCCTGAATAAGTTGGCAGGGACCGTGTAGCTGACATTTTCCAGGCCCTCAGAGGACACGGATGAGGGGGCTTTAGAGTGAGGCTCTGTGCTTGAGGCTTCCTGCCACCTCCTCACTCAAGCCTCCCAGCAACGCTGCTGGGGTGGGGGGTGGCAGCTCCGAGACCGTCCCATTCCATAGACCAGGAAAGGGTCAGGTGGCGGGTCAGGTGGTGAGACAGGGCTGGTACCCATTCTAGACCCTGACTCTGGAGCCACACTGCCCTCCTGAAGAACCCAAGCCCAGCACATAGTAGGTGCACAGTAACTGGTAACCGCCACTGCTTCTGCAGGAACCCTGCCCCCTGCCCCCCGCTTTCTGGTCTTAGGTCTCGAAAGGGAAATCACCATTAATTGTCACACCAGCCAGAACGTATAATGTGCTTATTGTGGGCCAGGCACCAAGTCTTTATACTAATTCCGTTCGATCCTCTAAACAACCCTCTAAAGCAGATACTGTTATTATACCCATTTTACAGATGCAGAATCTGAGGCATAAAGAGGTTGGATAATACGTCCAAGGTCTCCTTAGGATGCACATCCCAGTGGCTTTGTCCTAGGTCCATGTTAAGCAGCCACTGTCCCCCTTTCAATCACCCTCCTAAAGAGCAGGGACCAGGGCTTCAGGGGCTGAGTTCCTGTCGCCCAGTGATGGCACGTAAATGATCAGCAGGACGCAGGGCAATCTGCAGAGCCCTGGTGTCCGTGAAGTGCTTGCTGGTGTGCAGTAGGGAGTGACTGGTTCTGCCCAGCGAGGGGGGCCTCAGAGAGGGCTGAGGGCCTGGAATGGGGGAACGGGACCGGCGTTCAGACATGGGCATGGGGGGCAGAAACGCGGAAGTTTTTTGTACGTTCAGGGAACTACAAATGTTGGGTGGACTGCATTTGTCCATCCTTTTTTGAGACTATTTCACTGTTGGTGCCCTTCCTCTGGGCAGAGTGTGTGGAGGGCAGGGCTTTGGCCTTAGGCATCTCTGAATCTGCAGCACGAGTCCTGGCACATAACAGGTGCTCGAGGACAAGGAAGGAAGGAAGCCCGGAAGAGAGTGGTTGTGCAGGAGGCAGGCGGTCATGGTGCAGAGGATTGAAGAAGTCCGACAATCTTGAAAAGAAGATTGCAGCGGGGTGTCTGGATTTGGCAGTTCAGGGACTCCAAGAAGAGTTTCCCGGTAGGGGGTGGGGTGGGGGCCCGAGCCAGACGGCAGTGGCCCAAATCAGAGATAGGTCCACACCTGCTGATGACCGTGCAGGGCGATGGATTCGGGACCAAGGGAAGCCTGCGTTTGCAGGTGTGCGGTGGGGTTGGTCCTGGCACCTGCCTCACGACGTGGCTGGTGGGGAAGTGGGTTAACACACGAAGAGCCGTTAGAGCAGATGCCTGGCATGCAGACGTCCGCTGTTGTCACTGAGTGTCAGCCCTAGGAGAAAAGGGGGAGAGGCAGGGCGTTAGCAGCTCCTAGAAGGAGCCTGAGCTACTCATTCACTCATTGGACCATATTTATGGTGCAAAATAACACACAGAAGGAAGAGCGCATAAAACATAAATGTACATTCCCTCCACCCGAAATCAAACACCGGCGTTTGGTCTGGACACCAAACTAGAGCCATGCCAGGCCCCCCACAGCTTTCTGCGTGCCCCTCAACCATGGCCTGCCCACCCCCACCGTGCTGACATTTATCACCCCATCCTTGAGTCTCCCTGTAGCTGTTTACTGCCTTTTGCAAAGATGGAGTTAATTTTCTGTTCATCCAGTTGGACCGCATGGTGTGGGCTACTGCCCCCAGCATTGGGTTTCTGGGACTGGCTCCTGTCGTGGTTTGCTTCCTTTCCAGTGCAGTATAGGATTCTGTTCTGTGAATACCCCAAGCTTCCTGTATCCAGTCTACCATCGTGGGCATTTGCCTTGGTGGTTTTCATTTCTATGGTCAGCGCGGCTCGGACCAGTCCAGTTCAGGTGTCCCGGCGGCCCCGGCAGAGTCCTGAGCATGGACGGGGGTCCGGTGTCACCAGCTTTGTGTCCGGCCCTTAAGGAAACCAGTCTGGGACAGAGTGGCTGGCTGGGGCTCCAGGGGGCCAGGGGGGCCTGGAGGGGCTCCAGGGGGGCAGGGCCTGGAGGGGCAGAAGGCAGGTGACTTGGCTGGGGCCCGCTCTCACGTGGGCACTGGCTTGCCTGCAGGCTGGCCGATCCTCCTCGGCCTGACCGGGACCCCGGCGGCCCTGCAGCTCCTGTTCTTGCCTTTCTTCCCCGAGAGCCCCCGGTACCTGCTGATTCAGAAGAAGGATGAAGTAGCTGCCAGAAATGGTAAGGCTTTACTGTGCGGGGGGCAGGGGATGGAGGCCGCAGCGTCTTGGCTCCGGGGAGTTGGGGCGCCCTGAGCCGACCCCCTGCTCCCCTCCCTTAGCGCTGAGGAGGCTGCGCGGCTGGGACGACGTGGGCTCGGAGATGGAGGAGATCTGGCAGGAGCACGAGGCTGAGAAGGCCGCGGGCTTCATCTCGGTGCTGAAGCTGTTCAGCATGAGGTCCCTGCGGTGGCAGGTCATCTCCATCATCATCCTCATGGGCGGCCAGCAGCTGTCGGGAGTGAACGCGGTATGGGGACAGTGGGCCCGGGGGGCGGCGGGTGGCCGGTGGCCGGTGTCACTGCGGGGGTGGGGGGCCGTGTCGCAGGTGTTGCCCTGAGGGCCCCACCAGCCTCTGGGGTACCTTCCAGATCTACTACTACGCAGACCAGATCTACCTGAGCGCGGGGGTGAACGATCATGACGTCCAGTATGTGACAGTGGGCACGGGGGCTGTCAACGTGCTGATGACCATCTGTGCCGTGAGTCCGACAGCACCACGCGTGGGGGGCATCTTAAGAGTGGGGGAGGGGGGTCTTAGCGGAAGAAAGGGCTGGAGCTGAGGTGCCTCTTGGTCTCCTCATCTCCAGCCCTCTGGGCTCTTGTCAGATGACAATCTATGCACCCCCCGCAAGATGGAAGCCCCTGCCCCCGACTCTGGAAGCTTCCGCTGTGTGAAGTGGCTCCTCCCCAGTGTCTGACATTTGGGGTTGCTACCTGTGCCAGGAGGTGCCACACCTGGGCAGTGTGGCGGCTCCTGGGGGACACACAGCCTGCCTGCTTCCCCTCACGGCTGCCCCTTCAGAAGGGGGAGTGTGGGACCAGTGGGGGCTTCCTGTGAGGGCAGCTGTAGGCAGGGGTACGCCCCCTTTCCTGAGCCTCCCTACTTGTCCTTTGCCCCCTCCCTTCCAGGTGTTCGTGGTGGAGCTCTTGGGGCGGCGGGTCCTACTCCTCCTGGGCTTCTCCGTCTGCTTCACGGCCTGCTGTGTGCTCACGGCCGCTCTGGCCCTGCAGGTGAGGAAGGGGGGCTTGTGTCCTGTCCACCCCCTGCGTCCTCGCCTGCAGTACAAGGAAGAAGACCAGAATGATTTTTTAGCAGCTACGCTGAATCAGATGCCTGGGGACCATCTGCAGCCCCCGTCACCCCCACCCTGTAGCAGCCCGCTGCCCACTAACGGCCGGTTTTCCGGGGGCATCCGGATGGTGCTGCCTGTTGGAGGAGCCAGGAGCCCTCCTTCCCCAGCCCTGGCAGAGCGCCTGGCCCTCTGGGAACCAAGGTTCCCAACGTTCCCCATCCCCGGTTGTCACTGCTTTGCTGGCTGTGATCCCACCCTGTTTTCTCCCCACAGGACACAATATCCTGGATGCCTTATGTCAGCATCGCCTGCATCATCTCCTATGTCGTAGGACACGCCCTTGGGCCCAGTACGTACCCCAGAGCTGGCGCTATGCTTCCCTGCTCTCCTCTTCTGCACCATCAGCCCTAGAAACCTCTGTTTCCCGGAGAGGCTCCTTGGAGGGCCGGATGCAGCCCCAAAATGGCTTCTCCCCCTACCTTCCTATCGCAAAGGGGTTTGGACAGAGCATAATTAGACTGAAATCAATAAAGCAGCCTGGGCAGTGTGGGTTGAAACGGGCTGTGTAGTTGCCGTAGAGATCCTTATGGGTGGTCACAGGTCCCCTTTTGGAACATCACAGGGTGTCACCTGTGGTGCTCAATTCTTGCTGTTGGCCTCCTCACTCTGCTTTGCTCCCAGCCGAGGAGTCCCGGAGACACACTGTCCCTCGGGCCCCCGGCACGGCAGGGGCTCCGGGACCCTTTATGGGCCTGCTCTGCTTCCAGAGAAGGCAGCCCTTCCTCTTCTCCCACTCTGCACCCCCCCACAAGGTCCCATCCCCGCGCTACTGATCACGGAGATCTTCCTGCAGTCCTCCCGGCCGTCTGCCTTCATGGTGGGGGGCAGCATCCACTGGCTCTCCAACTTCACCGTGGGCTTGATCTTCCCCTTCATCCAAGTGAGTGCGCCCCAGGGGCCCCAGATGTGCAAATCCTCAAGTGGTAAAGGGAGAACCTTTTCGAGAACATGAACCCCGATCCCTTTCCCACAGGTGGGCCTCGGACCTTACAGCTTCATCATTTTTGCCGTGATATGTCTCCTCACCACCATCTACATCTTCCTGGTTGTCCCCGAGACCAAGGCCAAGACATTCATGGAGATCAATCAGATTTTCACCAAGATGAATAAGGTGCCAGAGGTGCACCCAGAGAAGGGGGAACTAAAGGACTTTCCAGTCTCTGCTTCAGGGCATAACTCGAGCAGAGGAGCCTGCTAAACAGATCTGCGTGGAGCCTCCCTCCCGGGCTTTCTTTCTGACCGACAGGTGTCTGTGAACATCTGGAACTAGGACCAGCCCAGTGTGGAACGCAGGCCCCACTGGGACTGTCCAAAGGGCTTCTGTGCTGTCTCTCTCCAGACTGACCCACCACCAACCCCGACTCGCTATGAGCAGGCACCCTTCACCATGTGGGTTCGCCGTTGGATGGCTCCTAGTAACATGGGCTCTTACGACAAAAGTATTACTACAGCGGCAGGATGGAAGGAACCCCTCTGGCCGGAGAAATGAACTCTTCTGCAATCCCATGGGTCTGCTCGGGACCGGAGGCATTCTTCCTCCTGCCAGATCCATCTCCAGAAATACCAGCTCTGGAAAGTGTGATGTCCCAAGTAATGATGTCTAAGAAGCTGGGGCAAGTCCCTGAGGAGACATCAACGAGTCAGAGATTATTAATCGTGAATTATATTGCTGGAGGACAATGGCATTACCTCCGTATACTCAATAAAGCACATATGATCACTTCTTGCCAACACATGCTTCTTTCCTGTGAACAGGTAGAAGACATGGGGCGGGGGTGCCTCCCTGCTCCTTCAAGCAGTCTGTGTTGGAGCATCAGCCACTCAAGGGGAATCCCGCTGCCTAGAACAGGGCCTGGCGTGGAGGAGGTGCTGAGACAGTATTTGCTGGAAGAAAGGGAGCAGCGAGAGATGAGGTGTTCACAGAGTGGTGATTTTTTAAAATTTAAGATTGGGGCTCCTCTGCATGTCTTCAGGTGCATAGTGAACACCGAGGGGCCTTGAAAGTGAGACGGGGAAGGGGGGCCGGGAGGAGGAGGGATGCGTCCCCGCACATATGGCACATACAGCAGAACTGGGGGCTTTTCTTAGAAATGTACGTGCGCGCGCGTGCATGCGTGTGTGTGTGTGTATGTGTGTGTGTGTGTGTGTGTGTGTGTGTGTATGGGACAGGATGCGAGATCTGCTCCCGGGCGTGAAGGAGGCAAAGCCAGGGGCCGGGTGGGACAGAGGTAGGATTAGGAGCAGCCTTTGTAGGGGTGGAATGGGGAATCCCACAGGTGATGAATTAAATAACTCACAGGAGTAGCGAGGGTCCAGAAGTGAAGAGTCCCCTGCTGGGGTTGGGCCACCCTTGACCTCCAGCTGTAGGGACCTGCCGTCCCAAGGGGGCACGGGAACCAGCCACACACAGCAGGAGCTCTCAACACAGAGGAGTGGTCCAGCTGGGATCTCAGAATCCAGGAGGCTGGAGCTCCAGTCCTTGGTCCTGCCACTTCGTGATGGTGTGACATGGGCTCTTTGCTCGGCTTTCCTGTATGCTGGTTTCCTCTTCTGTTAAACAGAACTAATAACAAGTGTCTCACATGGTTACAAGGATGAAAGAATATGTTTATGGTGTTTAGATCAGCGGCTGGCATGTATTCTGTACTTAGTTATTTTTAAGAGCTTGAGAATGAGCATTTGTCTTGAAGACAAATAAACCCACAGGTAAAATGCAGTGAGAGGCCACTATCCATGTATAACTGGAATTAAGCAATTAAGTAAATGGATGGCAGATGGTGAGAGCCATCTCATTGGTGGAGATAAGCCAAGACAGGGAGCCTAGGATGATCCACGTGGTCCTAGATGAATGTTGGAGATACTGGTATGAGCTCACATTCAGTTTAATATAAACACAGATAGCTACCTATAGAAATACTGGAGTGCCTGGGGGACTCAGTTGGTCAAGCATCTGACTCTTGATTTGGGCTCAGGTCATGATCTCAGGGTCGTGAGATCGAGCCCTGAGTCGTGGAGTCTGCTTAGGATTCCCTCCCTCTCCCCCTCCCCTACCTCCTCTCTAAGAAAAAGAAACACTTGAGGGCATGTGTATTTCCATGGGTTAGGAAACACAAGAGGGAGGCAGGGCCTGGTGCTGGTTGCATGGGAAGGAAGGTGTGGGATCAGGGAAGACCACAGCATCTCCCCCGTGCAGAAGAAGCAGTAGGAAAGGGAAGGATGGACATTCCACGTGAGAGAAGCACACAGAGGTGTTCAGGGGAACTGTGGGTCAGTCTGAAGTGAAGCCAGAAAGGTGTGGGTCCTTGTGAGCCAAACTGAGTCTGAACTGGGTCCTCAACACAACTTGGGTGTTGGGTGATCACTGAGTCTAAGGGAGGACTGTGGCAGTAATAAGGACTCGGGGGGGACTTGAGTAGGGGGACCGGTTGGCAAGAAATAAGGGGGGCCCTGCAGAGCCAGCAGAGGTCGGGCTGAGATGTGAGAGAATTCAGAGAGAGACCCATAGGATTTAAGGACCCCTCGGCCCTCACAGGTGAGCCACCTTGCCACCTTGCCCGGTTTCCAACAGGCCAGGGGTGGAGGGTGGAGGGGGTGGAGCGGCAGGCTTGGGGAGAAGACAGTAACATTTTTGGACATGTGGAGTTGGAGGAGCTCATGAAATATGTAAGAAGTGTCTAGAAGGACATGAGTCACGTGGCTCTGGAGCTCAGGAGAGAGAGACCACATTCACATAATTATTATAGTATATTGGTATAATTGTCGTCTTTTATTGTTAATTTCTTACTGTGCCTAATTTCTAAATCAAACTTGATCACAGGTATGTGTGTATAGGAAAAAACATAATGTACCCAGGGTTCAGTGCTATCCACAGTTTCGTGGGGCTCTGGGAGGGGATCCCCCATGGATCAGGGGGGACTACTATATTTCTTGCTTCCTCCTTCACGATGCCTGTTTGTCTATTTTATCACGTGACATGTACATGTACGGAACTTCTAAAAAATAAATATGCGTACACTGGAGGTTTGTGTTCAAAACTTTGTTACTGATGGAATAGTGCTATGGGAAAAGTTTGGAGACCACTGGGGGCCAAGTTGGCCACAAAGAGAAGCAAAGATGAAGAAGAAAGGACACTTTGGGAGAATTAAAAAGTTGGAGGTTCTTTGGATGCTGACCAAGGTCAGTCAAGGTCAAGGCAGTTAGCACGTGAGAGAGATGGAGGTGAGGAGGGCTGTGGACCCTGTTTGCTCTCAAAGTTGCGTGCACAGGGGCGCCTGGGTGGCTCGGTCGGTTGGGCATCTGCCTTCGGCTCAGGTCATGATCCCGGGGTCCTGGGATCGAGCCCCGCATCAGACTCCCTGCTCGGTGGGGAGCCTGTTTCTCCCTCTCCCTCTCCCCCTGCTTGTGTTCCCTCTCTCGCTGTGTCTCTCCCTGTCAAATAAAAAAAAAAAAAGTTGCATGCACAGTGCTGAGCACGGGCCGGCAGGGGGCAGGGGGCATTCAGCGGGGGCTCACTGAGTGTTTTCTGAGTGGCCAAGTCTTGCTGGGAGGAGTTCAGGTGGTGAAGGCAGAGCAGAGTGAGGCTGAGCTGATTCCGGAAAGAGCATACCTGAGGAAAGGTCCCAACCCCAAGATGACAAATGCGGATCATGGTGGCAGGTGGCAGGTGGCAGGTGGCTTTCACCAGCAGGTTCCATGCTTCTGGATTTCACAGACGAAAATTTAGCAGACTAGGGGTGCCTGGCCGGCTCAGTCAGAGCATGTGACTCTTGATCTCGGGGTCGTGAGTTCGAGTCCCAGGTTGGGTGTAGAGATTTCTTAAAAATAAAATCTTTAGGGGCGCCTGGATGGCTCAGTCAGTTAAGCATCTGCCTTTGGCTCAGGTCATGATCCCAGGGTCCTGGGATCGAGCCCCACATCGGGGTCCTTGCTCAGTGGTGAGTCTGCTTCTCCCTCTCCCTCTGCCTGCCACTCCCCCGTTTGTGCTTGCTCTCTCTCTCTGTTGAATAAATAAAGTCTTTAAAAAAATAAACTCTTCTGAAAAAAATAAAATAAAATCTATAAAAACAAAATTCAGTGGACTACGTTGGGCTGCTACTCTCCCCCCCATTTTCTGCAAACAAAAACACGAAGAAGGAGAAGGAGGAGGAGGAAAAGGAGAAGGAGAAGAAAAAACAACTCTGGAAGAAGGAGAAGGAGAAGGAGGAGGAGGAGGAGGAGGAGAAGGAGAAGAAAGAAGAAGAAGGAGGAGGAGAAGGAGGAGAAGAAAGAAGAAGAAAGAAGAAGAAGAAGAAAGAAGAAGAAGAAGAAAGAAGAAGAAGAAGGAGAAGAAGAAGAAAGAAGAGGGAGAAGGAGAAGGAGGAGAAGGAAGAAGAAAGAAGAAGAAGGAGGAGGAGAAGAAAGAAGAAGGAGGAGAAGAAGGAGAAGAAAGAAGAAGAAGGAAGAAGAAGA